TATTCTGACCGAACGATTTACAAAAGCCAACACCAGTCGGTCATACAAAACAAAGGGAAAAGGTGATCGAACGATCACCTTACTATCCAACTAAACTACTGACCGAACAGTTCTACTGTTCGGTCTTAACTTCTACCTCTACTAAGTTTTCTTCTTCCAGCGCCTCTTCCAGCAGCTCGTCTCTTTCTGCTTACATTCACATGGATGTTCATTGTATTTTAAGTTTATCTTATTTTTTAAATTTTTTATTTTTTTATACATAGGGTAAGCTTATGTAATTTAATTCATGTATAAACATATATTTCACACAATCAAAACAAAACAAGATAATTCATCACTCGTTCATACCAAGCCTAATACTAGACTGACTGTCCGGACTGTATGAATTCTATGTAGCTATAACGCTCGTGCACCGGGGTGATGTAGTAACTGGGATACACTCAACAGCTATCATCCGAGGTTAGTCCTATCTGTCCAAATTAACCATAAGGACTATGACCTCCTGTCGTTCCCACATATGACTTACCATCCTCTACATGAGGACGAGTAATCACGGAATATCAGGATGAACCGCCAGCTTAACATGCCCACATTCATACTTTACCAAATTCCAATATACATTCATGAGCTATTCCTCCCCGGAACGCTCGTCCATAATTCAAATACATTTCATATACATCATGTTCCATCATCTTCTAGTTTCAAACTTCAATTTTTAACTAAGACTACTTAAGATACAAAAATACCGAACGTTCACCTTTAATCCTTAACAAGACCGAACACTTGGACTGAGACCACAAGGTTTCCCAATTCCAGAATAGATCAAAACCGAGAGAGAATTGCCATCGGGATTGGGAAGAAGACCAAGTACAACCATATTTCACAAGAAAGAATAGAAACGAATGTTATTTACAAAGTTAGCCAATTTAATGAACTGACTCTTGAGAGTTGAAACCGAACGCCGATAAGCCCAGGCCAAGTACTAAGACTCTAGGCCGAAACCAATGGGGACAGACACTTCAAGACGTTCAAAGACTAATACATCGAATAATCACATGAAGAAACCGAACGCTTATAGATACTTAGCTTATTCGAATTTAACATCAGGAAACCGAATGTCAGTCAAAGACCGAACACAGTAGAGAGAGTAAAATATTGAATTTAGACGAACGCTATTTTCATCAAGGTAGTTTATAGAAAAGAGAATGAGCGCTTGGTGTAAGACCCAACAATAAATAGTATGAACGCTTGGTGAAAGACCTAGTTCTAAATCGTACGAGCGCTTAGTGAAAGACCTAACATTAAATGATACGAGCGCTTGGTGAAAGACCTAGCATTTAATGATATGAGCGCTTGGTGAAAGACCTAGCATTTAATGATACAAGCGCTTGGTGAAAGACCTAACATTTAATTATATGAGCGCTTGGTGAATATAGAATATCATTTTACTAATGTTCAAGAACGAACGGTCATACTATTATACAGATATATTTAAGTCTTATTTTAAAATACCAAGGAAAGGATATCCTTGGGGAAACGCCTGTACACAAGTTGTACTAGACGAAGACGCTCGTCCTCAACATAATTTCTTTCCAAATGAAAGAATCCAGTTCTAAACGAGTCCCCTATAAAAACCGAACGGTCAAGGACCATTCAGTAACGAACACATTTTATCTTAGGGAAATTTCATACTTAGAATCATTTATCTCAACTCATTTCTCAACATCTATTTTCATAAAATCAAACACCCATACCATAGTAAATAATCATACTTCATATAGTCAAAACATATCAACAATCATACTTCGTATAGTCAAAATATATCAACAATCATATTTCATATTAATTCATCAAATCAACGAACATACATGCAATTCAAACAACATACAAATTAAATTAAATAAGCTTCCCTTACCTCTAATGTGAGCAAACGTTCACAAATGGACCACTGATTCCTCTAAGAATCCTTCGACCCTCAACGCTCAACAATTCTCCAAAACTAAACCAAACAAAATGCCATAATTGGGCTCAGAATGAGATTATGAACTCATGCAGACAGAACTTGGTTTGCATGTTCCAGAAAAACGCACGACTGAAAGAAGGAAGAGCTTACCAGCTCAGCTTCACAAACCGAATGGTTTAACTGGAAGCTCTTGACGTCGGAAGTGCTTCTGCGGTGCCTGAATGGTGATCGGAGAAGAGAAAGTGACTGTTTTCTTAGAGAGAAGATGAAGGAGATGTAGAGAGAAGGAGGAGAGAATGAGATTTTTCAGAATTTGGGGAAGAAGGGTGCATGTAGTGAGTGGAGTGGATTTTCTGAAAACCAAAGTTTTGCTTCCAACGTCAAAACGAGCGTCCGCTCATCTGCCAACACTTGCCTTCCGCCAGCTAAGTGTCGAGTCCCTCTCTTGACACGTGCAATCCCCTAAAGCGAATTCTGAGTGGATTTTAATGGCTCTGACACAAAACAATAATAATATTTACATAACTAAAAAAGTGAGAAAATGTCATATGTGCCTAAAATACAAAATTTAAACAAATATATGTTGAACTCAATTTATTACTTCTAAAAGGAGTTAAAAGTTAAAAATAAAATCAATGGAAAGTACTTTCACTGTACAATAGAGTTATAAATGTGTCTACAAAATATTCGTCATTAAATTACAATTTGATACAGGTGTCATAAATACACATTGAAATCTTTGCAAATAAGAGACAAAAATAAAAACCAACAAAAAAGGAAAGGGAAATGGCACGTGCCCTAAAAAAATGATGTGTTTCATAAAATGCAACAAAATAGTGTTGTGAAGAAAATCAAAACATTAAAGTTGTGAAAAAAGCAAAAGGAAATGTGAAATTAAGGTGTGAGAAAAAGAAAAAATACCTTGAAAATCTAACTAAACTTGATGGATATCAAACGAGTTGAATAATTAAAAGAGACAATTAAAAATTGGTTTAATTGCTTCCTTTGTCCCCAGTTTGGTTGAATTGTGTCAAATTCATCCTATTTTTAAAAAAGTTTCATTGTCGTCCTCACGTGGTATAAAAGTGTCAATTGAATCCAAACATAGAAAAAATTTGTGTCAAAGTAGTCATTTTTCCTATATCTCTGTGTCTTCCTTTCATATGTCACTTCTCTGGAGCTATGAAAAGCCTTAAATTGGATAAGGTAAAATGAATATCTGTACTTGATTGTATGAAAGGAAGACACAGATATATAGGAAAAATGACTACTTTGACACAAATTTTTTCTATGTTTGGATTCAATTGACACTTTTACACCACGTGAGGACGACAATGAAACTTTTACACCACGTGAGGATGACAATGAAACTTTTTTAAAAATGAGGATGAATTTGACACAATTCAACCAAACTGGGGACAAAGGAAGCAATTAAACCTTAAAAATTTTACCACAAAAGAAATGTTCTTCGAATAAAAGGAAACTAGTGACTAAAGATAAGATTGAAAATAAGTTTTTATGTTATTTAAGAAACTAAACATATTTAAGTAATGTAAAACGAGAACAAATGTGAGATGAAATAGATATCCATGCTTGATTAACACAAATATTTTCTCTTAAAATGAAAATAAGTTACAAATATTTTCTCATAAAATGAAACAAGTTTGAAAAGTAGTTATGGATATATATGTGCTTGTTATTCCTATATGTTAACTCTTGTCCATAAGACTTTTATGAGTGATCTATGAATTTTTTTATATGAACATCTTAACACTTTGAGTAAGAGACTTATTTGATAACTTTATTGCTTTCTATTAATTATATATATAAATACATCCAACTTATTTTTATGTTTTTAAAAAAGTTGTTTTCGAGTACATGCTATGCTAGAAATGTCTTATTGTTGACATATAAAGCAACCAATTAAACTATGGTGAAAAGAAAACACATGAAAATAGGAGGGAGGGAAACATACGAGATATATTTTTAAGTAAAAAGTAGATTTTTATAAAATGGTTAACAATATACTATTGTTTAACTCAAAGTTAATAATATATAAATAATTATAAATGTGACATTTAAAATCGTTTATATTCAATATTAACAAACATTGTTTTAATACAAATGTTTATCAATTTCTTGCAATCAAAACAAACAAATATAATTCATAATGTCATCTTCAATTAAAATTTTTTCTTTTAGTGTTATTGAAAAAAATAAACTTTTAAAGAGGAGAAAAGCCTTAAAGCATTTAAATTCAAAAAGAAAGTTAAAGAGATAATAGTAAAATAATTAATCTTGTTTACTCTCATTTGCTATTAATGATGTTAGACTTGTGTTACAAATGTGTATTTAAAGTCTCGAGACAAAGAATTTTATCAAATCATAAGAAGTAGAACAACTTTATCTTAAGTTTTATAAAATAATTCTTACAAAATCTCTACATTTTCAAATTTGACAACAAACCTTCACTTGTTTTAAGATTACTAAGATCAATGATCATCAATCTTTCCCTTCTATAATGATTTCTATACTATAACATGTAAAGAGGAAGCCATACATTATATCCAAAGATGTTATGATGCTATTGCCAAAATGGATAAATTGAATCCTGTCAAGCATGTAATTTACAACGAATGTTTTTATCTTCCAAATACCACATAGAAATAAAATTATTAAAAGTTCAAAACTTTGTATTTTTGTATTATTTAACAGATAATAAAAAATTATATAAGTAGAATATTTTTTGATTATAAATTATCGTATACAATAAATTCATGAAATTCTATAATAATTATTTCAACATATATTTTATTAGTAGAAGTGGATAGTCATTACATTGGTAACACTTTTTACTCTTAACTTATAAATATTGAAAGTATTTAGACAAAATAATTAATAAATTGATTTTAACAAATAAAAAATTCTCAATTCGATGATTAAAACGAGTAATCAAATTAACTCATAAAATCAGTGGGTGAAAAAAATCCCGATTTGTGACATTCAAGAATAAATTTCGGCCCATTTCGGCCCATTTTGAAATGGAGGTTGCAAAGTCTGGAGGAGCGTGAGGAGGAGCAAGGTTTTGAAGAGTGTTCCCAAAATCGCAATATCTTAAATTCTATCTGCAACCACAAACCTTCTTGTTCGTAGTTGATCTCAAAAAATGGCGACAAAACTTCATATATTCACAGGATTGACCCCCGCGCCGTTTCAATCTTCTTCCTCCTCCTCTTCCACTCTCTGCGTAGTGAAGAAGCCTCTCTCTACTTCCTTTTTCGGCGCTGGAGGAGGTACTCTCACTATTCCCGTTACTCGCTGCTCGCAATAGTTAATTTTCGTTTAGTTTGTTTAAACGCTACGGTTTAACATGCGATTCGTTTAATTAGCCATGTTTCTAACTTCTGATCGTTGTAGTGGAAGCTCTGAAACTGAGCGCGATGAGGATTCCGAAGCCTGTGCGTGGTGGCGGTGCTCTCGGAGCTCGCATGAACTTATTTGATAGGTTCGCCAGAGTTGTGAAGGTGAAAAAAAGCACCGAAACGACAGTCGTTTAGTTTTTCGTGGTTTAGCTTTAATATTCTC